GTATTTCCTCAGCGACCAGCACGGATCAGCTCCAGGCATGAAGAAGCAGATATCGTCCTCTTTTGGAAGACCAAACAAAGTAGTTTTGTTTGGTCTTCACGACATGGCGGCGGCGACAACAATACTACAGCGAGAATAAAAGTTAAGCCTTCTTTCTTTGCGTGAACATTTGGGCGGCGTTATGCAAATCTTCCCACATAGTGATGTAGACATGTGGGGGCGTGTTAGAACGAGTCGTTTTAGGTAGGCGTGGCTGACTCTTAACTTTTATAAAGAATATCTCTTTGGATTTGAGACTTTAGTCTTTGCAACTTTACAGATCTTCTTTATGCACCAAGAGCTTGTAACACTCCAAAGAGAAAGGAACAATTGAAATCGCATCATATGACCCCTTTAAGTGATTGAGTGTTTTTAATGATTATTATATTTACATGCAATTTTATTTAAATAGTAGCTAAAGAATGCGGTTTTGTTAGCGAGAGAAGTTTAGTACACTGTATATATTGTAAATCGTATTCATTATATTAGAAGCCAATACCGATGAGCTTGACTTAATTAACAACTTTGCACTGAAATGATGGTTATTTTCCTTCGTCCTTATGCAATCCCTCATATGCAACATCTTTACCTGAACTTGTGGTTTTGTCCCTCCTGATAATGACTGATAAATAGATAATGCGGACATGTGCTTTCTTTCCATGGCTCAGATGTGAAAATAGACACCACCAGACACATGAGCGCTCTTCTTCTGCTGGAGTCAATACAGACAAACAGCGCTCACACTGTCACCTACAGGTCTGGAGCTGCAAATGCATGTTTAAAACAATTTCCTCTTACTATGATCCGCCCGTGTGTGATATTTCAAACACACAAATAGACGATTATCAGTAAATTATTCATTATAAATTATTTTTATGCTGACATATTACCGAAAACCTGGCAGAGATATTTGTAAACGTACTCTTGCGCTCTCCGCTCTGAGCGCTAGATGGCAGCACGCGTACGCAACGCCGCGCGAGCGCTCAGGCTGCTATCGCGCGTGCGCAGAACGCCGCTGCTGTCTGTCTGCTTGGAGCGCTACGCGTTCTGCTGCGCCTCAGAGACCGAGCGCTTTCAGTAGCCGTTTACCGGGCCGTTTCTGTTCGTTATCGACACCATGGACACGCTGAAGAACTGAAGTTAACGAGCACCGACGCCCGTTCTGATTGATGGATTTATTCTGAGGTAACGTTACAGTAAAATACCGGTTGTGTCGTTCGTTAGCGGGTCGGTTAGCAGCGGCTAACATCAAACAGACAGATGCAGAAAAAACATGACTGATTTCAACATAAATAACACTCGTATCTGGTAGTCTTTTAGTTATGATATTGCTCTAAGATTATTAATATCGGTCTTCAGCCGGAATATGTTGGATTTTTAGATCTCTATGTGTCTGAAGTACTGCAGGGAATCAGTGTAAGTTGGTCATTTAAACGACGCGCTGAACAAATCAGACAGACTCACCTAAACAACTAATATCAGACACACATTGGTTTTAAATATTAGTATTACTTAATCTGATCACCAGTATCAGACAGATTTTAATCTTGACATTACTTTATGGCATCTGCACTTATCGATAATATTCATCACCCTCTGGTTATTAACGTATCATATCTGATCAGTAAAATATAATAATAGCTCTGATCTTGATTTATGTTATCTGATTATCAATATCTGACACTCACAATATCAGACACTTGTCTTTTCTGCTAGTGCTGGGCGGTATGACCAAAAATTTATATCACGGTATTTTTCAAAATTATACCGGTTTCACGGTACAAGACGGTATTTTTTTTCATGCATGAGCGGGTGTTAACCATATTTTCTACTGATTGAGAGGAAATACTGCAGTATATTGACTTAGAATGCCCTATTTTACTGTCATGATGAGTGAATATTGTCAAAAAATACCACTCTAAATAGTGACTAAACACGACCCCTTTTAATACATGTTAACCAGGAGTCACTCTCATTTATAATCGCGGCATCGTCTGATAAAATCAGCATGCATCTACACTAAAGAGCGGCTATGCGGTTGTTTTGGCTATATTACTTTTTTGTCTCATGCAGCGCACTGCCTGCGTCTGAGTAACAAACTAAAAAAAACAACAAACAAAAAAGTGCATGTGATATTAACAGATGAACTTCGCTCATATTTATAATTCCAAACACTCAGTAAGCGACAGGTGCTGGGAAACGCTGTTGTGTACTCGTTTATTGAGGAGTCGGCTGCGGTGCTTCTCTGCCGCTCACTGCACAGAACAGACGCCGAGAGAGGCGACACTTCTCCGGGAAAGTCAGACCTCGCGTTCACGGGACAGCACTGGAGAAATCTTCCAACTCAACCATAGCTAAGGTTTATCCAAAAAAGTCACTAGGTTTGTCAGTATGAATATTCGATGGAAAAAATCAGCTAAAAGGGTCTGAAAGTTGCTAAATCTAGTGCTAAAGTCGCTCGTGTGTGTGAGACGCGGGAGCTGATGGCAGGGGGCGCTGGATATTTGTGGCGGTCAGTGTGGATATTGTGGATGAGTTCTTCTGTGTCATCAGGTTCTATTAGTTCTACAGCTTCAGTTTTGGAACGTTCACGCTTAGTAACACATACAGCTGTTCCCTCACCACAGTGCAACAGTGAAAAGAGACCCCTTTCAAACAGTGTCGCGTTCCGAACGTTGTTTAAGTGGCATATACCGGTATTGCGGTATTTTCAAAATTCATATCATAACAAAAATAAAAACAGGTATTCGGTATGAACTGGTATACCGCCCAGCACTACTTTCTGCTATCTGCTCTGATCAGTGATATTGGTCACTCTAATCTGGTCAGTAACGTCTGATGATCAGTACAAAAGTATCAGACAGACACTGATCTGATTTATTAATATGAAACATTTCATTTGATTAGCAGTATCAGACACTCTTTAATTCAGTAATTAATTTCTAACACCTAATCCAATCGGCGATCAGCAAAATTTATAACATCAAAACTGATATCAGATAGATCAGACAGTGATGTGATCTATTACAACATATAATGTGAGATCAGATTTTTCTTATAATTTCGAATGTCTGACATTGATTTTGTTGATATTGAATATCACATACACTCTGTTGTGATCTGATCTCACCTGACAGACTCAGAATATCAGAATTGTTCTTAATCAGAGCTCGACTCTGAGATCAGACCTTCACAATAAGCTTTGCATGTTATGAACATCAGATTCTGAATATCAACATAAGATGTTTTCAGTCTGACACATAAGATCAGATCAGTTCTGATATTGTTGATTAGAACATGTTGTGTGTGATAATGAGTGTCAGACTCTTATGTTCTATTCACATATTCTGAATATAAGACGTTATAAATATCCGTGAATGATATGACATTTTATCAGATCACCATGGTAATATTGATTAGATCCGATCTGTAGATCTACATCTGGTATTCAGAGTCAGTCCAGCCGGTCATCCGTGTGATGAATTTGGAGGAGCAGATGTGTCAGTCGATGATGAGTTGTATTGAGGTGGTCAGTGATTATTTAAGGTGCTGACCAGTTCGGTGTTTGTGTAAATGAGTTGTTTTCCTTCGAACCCATCTGTGAAGGTTATAACTCATTGCACGTTTTATTTGTGAAGGAAAATAAAGATATTTTGTCTCTCTGCCCTGATAATGGGTGACCATCTGTGCGATGCAGTGCCAGTTCAGGCATGACTAAAACAAATACTAAATCAGCAAACCATTTTTATAGTCTAACAGCTTTCATTATAGGCGCCATCATGTGCTTAAGATATGTGGAGTCTTTAATTTAGCATTTATTTGTATACTAAAGAAGGGTTTCTGCTGATCTTAAAGTCTTAATTGGCCCCTCCAGAAATTAAGGCCTTAAAAAGGTTGGAGTAGAAAGTCTTACATTCATGAAGTCATGGCACTGTATGCAATATCTTTCTCAGTATTTAGATTTTTCTGAGCCCATTAGCAGATATTTGTCCTTGGTTTAAAAAACAAAAACAACTTCATTTTAATTAGGACTTGGACAATAAATCGATGCATTGCGAATCGAGAAATGATTCTGCATCGATTCTGAGATTTTCCGAAGGCATCGTGATTCTCTCTTGAATCGATTCTGAGCTTAGTTTTTAACAGCAGATGGCACTGCGTGCTTTAGAAATAGCTGTATTCTGCTTGCTTCCAGTTCCTTACACACGCACCATTTGAACCTAAAATAATCATTCATAAAGTTCGAAATTTATAACTCATTGCACGTTTTATTTGTGAAGGAAAATAAAGATATTTTGTCTCTCTGCCCTGATAATGGGTGACCATCTGTGCGATGCAGTGCCAGTTCAGGCGTGACTAAAACAAATACTAAATCAGCAAACCATTTTTATAGTCTAACAGCTTTCATTATAGGCGCCATCATGTGCTTAAGATATGTGGAGTCTTTAATTTAGCATTTATTTGTATACTAAAGAAGGGTTTCTGCTGATCTGAAAGTCTTAATTGGCCCCTCCAGAAATTAAGGCCTTAAAAAGGTTGGAGTAGAAAGTCTTACATTCATGAAGTCATGGCACTGTATGCAATAGCTTTCTCAGTATTTAGATTTTTCTGAGCCCATTAGCAGATATTTGTCCTTGGTTTAAAAAACAAAAACAACTTCATTTTAATTAGGACTTGGACAATAAATCGATGCATTGCGAATCGAGAAATGATTCTGCATCGATTCTGAGATTTTCCGAAGGCATCGTGATTCTCTCTTGAATCGATTCTGAGCTTAGTTTTTAACAGCAGATGGCACTGCGTGCTTTAGAAATAGCTGTATTCTGCTTGCTTCCAGTTCCTTACACACGCACCATTTGAACCTAAAATAATCATTCATAAAGTTCGAAAAGGTTTAAGCGAATTACAAGGATTTTCACAGTGGGCTGTGTTTACATTAATCTCGCATCATAAAAGCATAAAAGCCGATGTGCAAGTACATTTAACCACTTACATTACTCAGCCGAACACACAAGCGCTCTTCTTCATGAGCATTTGAGTGTGCGGTTAAAAACTAGCCTAGAGCACCATCTGCTGTTAAGAAATTGGCATAGCAAATTTTCAAATAGGCGCTATCTTTATAAATAAACCGCAGATTAGATTTTTAAGAATTCGATTCTCACCTGAAAAACTCTTAAAACTACATTTCATGACACAATAACAGTAATATTTAGAAAATTACGCGGTTCTTGGGCAATGATGTTTCACAAGTCCACAAGAACAGACAAGAGCGCATATTGAGAAACGGCTATTGTCTGTGTGAAAATATAAAATGATCAAATACACGGTTATATTTTTTTGTGTTTGCGCACTCTGATGTAAATAAGCCCAACACTCAAGGACAGCAGAGCGGAACGAGTGAAGGAGAAGCTTTATCCCCTTGTATCACGCAAAAGTGACGATTCTAGTCAACCAATCAACGTTCTGCGGTGAGTTTAGCTCCACCCTTTTGGTACCCTTTGCTGTGCTAGGTACCCCAACGGAAGGGTACCAAAAAAGTGGTACGGTACGGTTCGCTATTTTGTTACCATTCACAACTTCTGACAGTGGAAACGAAAATAATTGCGTACCGTACTGTACCAAACCGTACCGCTCAATGGAAACGAGCCATTAGAGAACATAGAAGTCTTGTGTTCCCTTAAATTTTTTCCTGAAATCTTTTTACTTATCTTTTTACTAATGAACATGTACAGAAAATT